CAGGACATAGTGTTGTGCAAAATATACAGAAAGGCGACGTCGTTGAAGGTTTTGGAGAAGATGGCGGCTATGGAGGAAGAAATCCCGGTAAACTCTCCTCCAATGGAGTCTACTTCATTTTGCAGTCAATTTAGCCAATTTGACGATTGTGTGAGTTTCGAAAGCGGTCAAAAAGGGCAGATTAACACCGGTTTAGTGCTGCCGAATGGCGCTATGGAAAATATAACTGAGCTTCAGCTGCCTAGTTTCAACATTGACTGGAACCACGAGTCCTTCTGGATGCTCGAGAATCTTACACCTTTCTTGCCTTTGTGTTAGTTATTAGTTTCTCTGAAAAATGCATTGTATCTAATTTTACGAGCAAGCAAGTAATAATCGAGTTAGTACCCACATTTGTTTGTCACGGTAAAAAAATGAGTACAAATTTCATCGGTAGAATAGAATCCTCATGTTGTAGTAGCCAGTAGCCGAACCAGTCGAAGTCATCGGGAGAGTAAAGGGGACAAAGGATCAAAGTGTGTTTGAGAAAATCCTTAAAGAGCACACAACGAAAAAGGCAGATTTGTTCACCACATTTCACAATAAAGGCTCTGCTATTGTATAGCCAGGTCATCATCTTTGTTACAATTTAATCCAGTCTCTGTATATTCCTAAACATGGTTGCGATATATCATTACTAGTAAGTAATCGATTATATCTTTCTATAAAGAGCCTGATTAGTCCAATCATAATACCAGGTTTACTATCAATGCTTAAGGCTTCTCTTATTCCATTGTTTAGAATAAGAGGGTATTACTAGAGAGCACGAGATATGTGCAAGATAAAATATACAAGCATACTCATCAAGGGAGAATTAATATACAAGCATACTTTCAAAAAATGCTACAGTTAAACACGAATATCAATTTGCCTAGTCGTAAAGCAAGCCGAGTAGAAAAACTCTGGTTGTAAAATACCAAATCCATATGGTTCGAGGGGCAAAAAGGGCTCATTTTCAATAACTATAATGTTTGACAATTTCATGCATTGTTGCTGATTTCACAACACTAACAGGAAAATAGTGTAAACGTTAAAGTCTCACCAATGCTTCAACCCCTGTTTGCTTGTTTGATTGCTCAAATCTCTGTTTACACCAAATTAGCATCATCACAAACAAATCTAACACAAAAAAAAAGGCCATTCGTTTTCGTTACTTCGTATTCGAACTTTCACCAACATTGAACGACCAAAGACAAAACCAAATCCACTCGAACAAAAGCACATAAGACCGGCAGCGAGCTACACACATAAACACGATTTCACAAACCTAAAGACGAAACTAGAAAAACCACTAGAAACGAACATGCGATTAGACACAAACACAAACACAAACACAAAGCTAAGCTAATCCTTCACCTTTCAATAGTCGAGGACAGTAGAAATTATTCCCGGAATATGGGCCTCAGTAAGATCCACTTCAGGCCCAGAAGTCGGCGAAATTTCTCCCGAGCCCATATCGAGAACATGCCAAGTGTCAGCCCCATCATGCTTGAAGTAGACCCGGTTCCCCTTGCAACCGACAAGGCTCGATTTAATCCCCATGCACACTTTGGGCCCAACGAAAAATAGCCCATCATCAGGGAGCATCTTCTCCACCTTCTCCCACACAAGCCTCGACTTATCCAGCCGGAAAACCTCGACTCGGTCCACCACTTTCACCCATTTTTTTGAAACCAGAAACACCAAATAGATCTCCTCACCGTACTCGAGCAAGTGCTCTCTGAAATGCTTCGTGCCTTGACAGCTGGGCACGGCCCGATTTTCCCCTACAGCTGTAATCTGGTAGTCGCAGGTGTTGCTGACGTCCTCGATTACAGCAAGACTCCCCTGCCGGCTGATGGCGTAGTATTTCCCCTGGAGACCGATTGCGTTAGTGAACTCCATGTACTCGCCGGCGGCGGCCGAGTACGGATCCAGAACAGTGCAGTTTATGTAAGTCCATCCCATTTCCCGGAGATTCTCCTTGAAGAACCCAAAGGCAGGGGTCGAGATTCCTGTTATGACCATTGTCTCCACGGGGGAGGACGACGACACCGTGGCGGATTTGAACGGAACGTCGCCGTCCCACGGCGGCGGGAAATTGAGCCCCGCGCTAAGGCCGTTGTGAATGTAGCAGGCGGAGAGGTTCGCGTCGAGGGCGATCAGGTGGTTGTGGGAGTAGCCTTTGAAGTAGATCCCCTGGCCGCCGGAGCGCCGGTAGTCCTCCGTCCTCGTGTAGTAGTAGAGGAAGCTGTCCGTCACTTCAGGGTCGTATCTGAACTTCCGGCAGGGGACCGGCGGCGGCGGGAGGTTGATCTCGACGAGATATGGGGCTATGGGCTCTGCTGAAGCAACGGATGAAGAAGCGGACGCCGCCGGCGTCCGCCATGACTTGGTGGGCCCGCCGAGCCCGCTGAGGTGTTCGAGGACCGTCGGCCCCTTTTTCAGAGGGAGGTCGAGCCACGGCGGTCCCTGAGTCGACGGCGGTTTTGAAGATTTTTTCTTCGTCTTGTACCCCATTTTCGGTTTTTCTTTTCTTTGTCTGANTTTTTTGGTACAGTAAAAGCATTCTTTTTTTTAAGAAGAGTAATGTGATGAAAAAAAATAATGCATAAAGTTAATCCATAAAATTTGTCCTTATTGGCTAATTAAATGAGAATCTTGCATAATAGTACTGTAAATTTTAATCCAAAAAATATGTGTTAGAGATCCCATTTCAAATTCATTTTTGCATCAGCCATGCACACAAACGTTGTTCTAGGCTACTAGCATATATCCAGAGTGAACGCAGACTTTAAAGACAACGGGAGCACAAACTACGGTCAATACAGTTAACCTCGGAAGCCAACGGTCAAATCAATATTTAATCAATTAAAAAATAAAAATATTAAATCTTGACCAGATATTTTTTTCTTACTTAATAAATAGGGTTGAGTCTCACATTCTTATTTTAAGAATAGGGTCACATTTGATTTAATCCCTATATAGTATATACATTTATGTATAATATTTATTTTTTTATGTATTTTTGGAGGGAAAAAGAAAAATAAAAGAAGTTGAGTATAGCATAAGCATAAATTTCACAACTTAAAAAACAACATTGACCGCGCGTCGCAACGCGACAAAATTATAATTTATATATTTTTCCTCAACTAACCCCTACTAACTAGTAGTAGTGGCGAGCAAGGGTCGATCCCACGAGGAGTGTGAATCAAATTGTGAATTTTATCATATTAATTGATGTTATAAAAAGCAATAAAAGAGGGGGGTTTTGGATTTAATAGCTAAACTAACTAAAATAAATAAAATCTAAACAAATAAAAATAAAAATAAATAAATTAAGAGAAAGCTTCTAGTTCACGGTTCCGTCTACACCCTCAACCGACTCGTCTAATCAACATTGGTATCAAATCTCGCTATCATATGAAATTACTAGCCCTAGGCAACGACACGGTCTGTTACCCGAATTCTTCCTTAATTTTAATTTAACCGCGAGACGCTCTACGATTAAACCTGACTTCTTGTACAGTCCAGAAAAACGTTTTCAAGATTTAATACAATTAGCCGCTTTACGAATTAGAAAAATAGGCTAGACTAAGTAGTGAACTCAACCGCGTTCGTTCACTTAAATAGGCCGTGTTATCCCCGGTAGTTACCATCTTCCGGTTACCTTTTACGAATTAAACACAACAACAATTACGGATTGCAGGTCTAACTCAGATGTAGATATGAAAAGCCTAATCTAGGTGATCAATCTAAACAAGACTAACACATCATGGTGAATTATTCAAAATACCACAAGCAATTCCAAAAAGACAACTCAATAATCAACCACGAAAATCAATCAAACATCGTCAAGTCGTAGGGTTCAACATCCCCGGAACTTGAAATAAAAAACTACCCTAACATAATAATAAAAATAAATAATAAAAGAGAAAAGAGAGAGAATAAAATTCTCCCTCGTGTACGGGTGCGGTCTCCCTCCGCGTCTCTTTTCTCTGTTGCTACGAATATTTTCTTCTGTCTGCGTGAGTTTTTCTTTCCTGATGGCTGCGTGTATTTTATTTCTTTTTCTTTTCGTGTGTTCTCGCAATCCCACAAAATTCCCTGGCTGCGTATGTGTATGCCCTGGTGGATGTAGGATTCTTTTTTTTATTTTCTCCCCAAGTCTTCCTAATATTTTAATTAATTCCAAAACTTCTCCAATTAAATCTCCTTTGATGGCTGCGTCAATGTGCCCAAGCTTGCTCTCCAATTAATTGTCATTGGGCCCACCAAATATTAGCACTTTAACAATTGGGCCATTAAACACAATTAGCACACATAGACCTAAATTGGGCTGGTATGGGGCACTGCTAGGTCAGTACGGGGCACCCCCGTACTGTCTGCTTCAACCTTCCTTCGACATCTCGTCGTCCATAAAAACACTCCAATATCCTAAAAATAAACCATAAAAATATCAAAGCACCAAATCCATCTAATAAATAAATAAGTCGAAATATAATAAGTGTGATAAAATTAAGCATATAAAAATACGCTAATAAATATATAGAGTACACACTTTTTCCGACCAATCAAACATACTATTGAAGTTTAAAAGAATTCTAAATATTTCTTTTTTATTTTTGTATATTGAAATAATTTTGCATAATAATTAATAACATGTATTTTTATATGTCAATATAATAATATATTTATATATATAACATATATATACAATATAAAAAAAAAAATTGTACAGGGGCCCGTGCCCCTACGGGCCCCTATGTACATCCGCTATTGCATATATCTGGCTTTTAATAATGGATAAGACTACAGTCCCGTTACGGAACCAGGATTTTTAACCGTAGATGCACATGCTACACTAATCTACATGTGCATCTAACGGTTAAAAATCCTAACGGATGATTCCGTAACGAAATTGTAGCCTTTTAAAAGGATTCTAATCTCAGACAAAATGGATATACCTAGTTAATTACCAGCTCATGCCATACAAAATATAATGTGGAATATAACGGATAAAAAAATATATCATGTGGAATATTAATTATTTGGTACCTAAATTATAGTCATTTTATCAATTTGTATCTAAAATTATACGGTAGTACCTAAACAATACATATATACTAATTAGTACTTAATTCAAGTAAGAATGGAAATGGGCTATTTTTAAATGGATTTGGCTAGTAATTAGGATTTTTTTGTCATTGCTAATATTTTTTGTCATAATTCGATTATTAACTAAGCAATTAAATCCGCTCTATATATAATTTCAGAATGCGCTGAGCCTACGTGGCAAACTCTCATGCTTCGGAATCTTATTTGGCAAAAAATCATGCTTTGGAGTTAGGCTTGGATATAAATTAATATTTATATGAATTGTATTTTAATATCGTTTCTTATTATAACCATTAAATTGGAAATATATTTTAAAAGTTGATAACTTTTGTATTTATTATCGGTTTTACATATATAATATATCAAATTAATGATCTTTTGTTGAGTTTCGATTTGACATCCATATTGTATATATAAAATAAATACATTATATTTATCTTTATAATATTAAAAAAATTATTATAAAAACTCTTATTTAATTAAATATTTGTACGACACTTTTGTATTTCTTATCGGTTTTACATATATAATATATCAAATTAATGATCTTTTGTTGAGCTTCGATTTGACATCCATATTGTGTATATAAAATAAATAAATTATATTTATCTTTATAATAATTAAAAAATTATTTATTAAAATTAATTAGAAAATAAAATTATTATCAATTAATATATTTATGTTTAATGTAGTTATATGTTATAAGGTAGAAAATTTATTATAATATAACACATATAAGTCGCACAAGTAACATGTGTCATACTAAAATATATAATAATATATACTCCCTCCTATTTTTATTATTTGTCACTTTGGCTTAATTGATCATTGATAAAATAAATGTCGTTTTAGATATTTTGTTCATATTTTTTTTCATTTTTAACCTTCCATCTAATACACAGTGTCTCTTCATATCACATCTTCATCGTTTCCATAACATCCAAAAACTGTGAAGCACGACTGATACGACACTTGATGTATTAGACATCTAATTAATTAAAAAAATTAATCTATTTTGTTTATATTAAATAAATATATTCTACACTTATGCATATACATATCACCATATTATTTCTATTTATTTAAGATGTATTTTTTGTACTTATGTAATAGTAAATAATATCGATATTTTTATATGATATAAGTAAAAAAATGTAACACGGGTTGACATTTTCATTTAATGTACGGGTGTTTAATTATTATGATTAAAAAAATATAATTTAACAATTTAATTAAAACCAAAGTAATGTTTTATATAAAATTGAATTATTTTAGTTTAAAAAAAAATATTTTTTTCCAAAAGCTTTTTAATTCAACACTCGTGTAATACATGGGTATTGTACTAGTATATATGATTTATGTACGTACCAAATCAGCTAGTTCTATACGTTACGGACCATATTGCTAATAATATTGCGACATGAAGTAATCGATAAATATTTAAAGTTTAGGTAACAATTTAGCTAATCGTATACTCCATGTGCCTAATTAACAAAATGATTGCAGTTTAAATGCCCATATCAATCCATATAATTTTATGAAAATATTCAATTCTTATAATTTTATTTTCATAGCATTACTTTAGATCTCACGCCTCCATCTTGTATTGTCGACGTCAGCCCTAGGGGAGTGTAACGAGGCATCTCATTGCTTTCTAGTTTCTACTTTCTGCCCGTGACTGGACTTTCTATTAGCAAACAGCAATTTAATTAACTAATTAATTAAATTAATTAATTGCCTCATGGTTTAATTTTATTATATTCAATTGATTCGCAATTATGCTAGTATAATTGCACATGCAAATAAATTTATTTTCCAAAAGATATATATAATATTACTTCGACATGACACCAACTTTTTGAACGTGTAATAATATTCAAATTGCGACTCACGCGTGATCGATCGAAAATGTGCATATTTTATATATTTAATAGTATATTTTTATATGCTTAATTTATCTGCACATTTATATTTTTTGATTTATTTATTATTTGGAAGAATGTATATATTTTGATATTTTTATAATCTATTTTCAATAATTTAAAAAATATTCGAAGATTTCAATACATAAAACCCGTAATGTCGGGTACTTGGATTCTGCATGAAAAGAATGATTAAGCCCAAAAGTGCCATAGATGTCATTTATTCTTACAAACACATGTATTTGGGCCATGGGAAATAGTTTGATTTGGGCCTATTTTGAAGTGAATAAGAAGACTTAATTTGAAGGGGCTTGGAGGATTTAAATTGCTAAGAGGAAATTATTCACAAGCCACGAGGAGTTACACGGAATTATTTGGTGGAGTTTTGATTAGCTGGGGCACTTGGAATTAATTTCTAAGCACCAACAATATTTATTTTGGAGGAGAGATTTATTTGAAGGATTAATGCTATTTAGCCTACTTGGATGACAAATTGAGTTATAATCCAAATGTAAATATATTATCAAAAAGTTACAAAAAATTGTAAAAAAAAAGTTAAAAAATATTGTATTTACACTTGAGTTGTAACTCAAGTTGTCATTCAAGTTGACTATGTAGCATTACTCTATGTAAAGGGAGGAGCAACAATAGATGCCAGAAGCGAAAAGGAACAGAAACACTAGAATTTAAAGGCTAGAATTTTTATCCAGTTTTAAGAGATGTTTGAACTCTAATTTCAATTTGTCTATGAATTGAATGATTTATATTTATCGTGGTTAATTTAGACGCCCGTATTTATTGTTGTTGATGGTTTGATTCATGCTATCTGTGTCGAATGTTTATGAATTATGAGTGTTTGATTTAGTTTGGCCGACTACGTTGAATATTCGTAATTTAACTGCTAGATTCGAGACTTTAATCCGTAAGCGTTATTGTTCTTGTTTCGTTTGTAGTGGACTAAGGATCGTGCATCTCTAGGATACCGTTAACATAAGTTAAATGGTCAGAGCTTTCGCATCTGTTTCTTAGACTAATTTATTTTCCTAGAAATTAATGCTGCTTGTGCACTAAATCTAGAAAGTTTATTCTAGGTTGTCCACTAGTTAGGTTTAGTCGAAGAGCTTATTTCGATTAAATATTCGATAAGGAAAAATTCGGTTAACAAAGCATATTGTTAGGTAGGGTTGGTAATTCGTTAGCAATTTAGAGAAAAACATCGAAATTAATTAACAGTAGATTTAGATTGGATGATAACTTAACTGAAAACTGGAATTTCTCTCATTTATTTGATTTTTATTTTATTTTATTATTTCTATTTTTTAGTATTATAAATCAATCCCCCTTATTTGTTTTTGTAGTTTAATTCAATTAATACGAGATTGTCACAATTCAATTCATGCTACTTGTGGGTTCGACCTTTATTCGCCGCTACTACTAGCTAATAGAAATTAATTGAGGAAAACTCGTTGCGACGCGGCAAAAAAGGGCAGATTAACACTGGTTTAGTGCTGCCGAATGGCGCTAGGGAAAATATAACCGAGCTTCAGCTGCCTAGTTTATACATCGACTGGAATCACGTGTCCTTTCTGGATGCTCGAGAATCTTGCCCCTTTCTTGCCTTTGTTAGTTATTAGTTTTTCTGAAAAATGCACTGTATCTAATTTTACGAGCAAGCAAGTAATAATCGAGTTAGTACCCACATTTGTTTCTCACGGTAAAACCAATAGAAGCAAACATACGACTAGACACAAACATACACACAAACACAAAGCTAATCCTTCACCCTTCAATCGTCGAGGACAGTAGAAATTAAACCCGGAACATGGGCCTCAGTAAGATCCACTTCAGGCCCAGAAGTCAGCGAAATTTCTCCTGAGCCCATATCGAAAACATGCCAAGTGTCGGCCCCATTGTGCTTGAAGTAGACTCTGTTCCCCTTGCAACCGACAAGGCCCGATTTAATCCCCATGCACACTTTGGGCCCAACGAAAAACAGCCCATCATCAGGGAGGATCTTCTCCACCTTCTCCCACACAAGCCTCGACCTGTCGAGCCGGAAAACCTCGACTCGGTCCACCACTTTCACCCATTTTTTTGAAACCAGAAAAACCAAATAGATCTCCTCACCGTACTCGAGCAAGTGCTCCCTGAAATGCTTCGTGCCTTGGCAGCTGGGCACAGCCCGATTTTCCCCTACAGCTGTAATCTGGTAGTCGCAGGTGTTGCTGACGTCCTCAATTACAGCAAGACTCCCCTGCCGGCTGATGGCGTAGTATTTCCCCTGAAGCCCGATTGCATTCGTGAACTCCATGTACTCGCCGGCGGCAGCCGAGTACAGATCGAGAACAGTGCAGTTTATGTAAGTCCATCCCTTTTCCCGGAGATTCTCCTTGAAGAACCCAAAGGCAGGGGTCGAGATTCCGGTTATGACCATTGTCTCCATGGAGGACGACGACGCCGTGGCGGATTTGAACGGGACGCCGCTGTCCCACGGAGGCGGGAACTCGAGCTCCCCGTTGAGGCCGCTCTGTATGTAGCAAGCGGAGAGGTTCGCGTCGAGGGCGATCAGGTGGTTGTGGGAGTAGCCTTTGAAGTAGATCCCCTGGCCGGAGCGCCGGTAGTCCTCCTTCCTCGTGTAGTAGTAGCCGAAGTCGTCCAGCTCGTCGGGGTCGTATCTGAACTTCCGGCAGGGGACCGGCGGCGGAGGGAGGTTGATCTCGACGAGATCTGGGGCTATGGGCTCTGCTGAGGCAGCGGACGAAGAAGCAGACGCCGCCGGCGTCCGCCACGACTTGGTGGGCCCGCCGAGCCCGCTGAGGTGTTCGAGGACCGTCGGGCCCTTTTTCAGAGGGAGGTCGAGCCACGGCGGTCCCTGAGTCGACGGCGACTTTGAAGATTTTTTTTTCGTCTTGTACCCCATTTTCGGTTTTTCTTTTTTTTTTTCTGNCGGAAAAGGCAAAAGAGAGCACAGTAATTTATTCACATTTTTCACTGCTTGGGCTCCAAGTAAGAAGGTAAAAAATGAAAATCGAAAAAGTTAATTTTTTTGCGTGGTGGGCACACAAAGAACAAAAACGTACTGTGGAGTGTGGAGTGTGCAGTGTGCAGTGTGCAGTGTGCAGTCCCAACAGAATTTTCACCACGTTCTCCAAAGAGGGAATATAATTAGTATTCTTTTTTGAAAATAATAAGCAATAACAGTAATGTGATGAAAAAAAATAATGCATGAAGTTAATCTATAAAATTAGTCACTTTTTTTTCACTGGTAAGTTACTTAAGAAAATAAAATTTTTTCCCCAATTCCTCTCGCGAACAAAAACCCTACCTCCTCACCTCACGAAATTTCGGCGAATCTTCCTCCCTCGGCGTCGGTTAAGCTCGGCCTAAGGTCATCCTAAACTGTCCTCTCCCCCCTGGCGACATGTGCCCTCCTCTCACCTTCAGATAGTTTGGCGACGAGGCGTCAGGTCCGTGGTTTCAGATGGAGTCGACGACGGTGGTGGCGCTTCATCGATTTCGTTGCAAGGCCGGAGATCGGAACCTAGTTCCAATCACTAGAGGAGCTGTGACTCTAGTGGTAAGTCCCGTTTTTCTTCCCTCTGTTTGTGATTGTCGGACTTGGTCGTTTCTGGCGGCGCTTCTCCTCTTCTGGCGAGGCCGCGCCTTTTGTCGTAGGCTGTTTGAGGCGGTTCTGGGTGGCGTATGTGTCGCCGGGTGGGGTGGGTCCCTGATTACTGCGGCACTCCTTGTCGTGGCGGTGGGGGGGAGGGTTGTTTCTCTTGCTCTGTTCTCCGTCGACTAGTGGTGTTAGGAGGCGTGGGAGGTCCTTTCGGACTCGTCTAGTGGTGTTAGATGAGTGCGGATGGATTAGGTGCGGGATGGACCACGGCTCTCTCGGTCATGGATGGGTCGATTCGGGGATTGGTTCGGGTTAGATTTCTACTACTGTATAGGCTTGATTGCAGTTTCGGTAGCAGACTCCTGGCCGGATTTGTCTTGTGTCGATCGTTCACTGCTGGTTTGTGCTAGCTCGTTCGTCGGGGAAGGGCTGTTAGTTTTTTAGTTTTATATGTTGTTTTTGTTCTGTGTTTCGTCGTATTTGTGTCTGTGTTGTTCTTGTATTTTAGGTTTGGGCCATTTGGCCTCTGTGCGTCCGAGTGTCACCTTTATTATTCTGTTGGGGTCCGACACTCGGTATTACTCTGTTGGGATCTTTGTATTGTTTGTTGTGTTTTGTAGTGTTGTTATTAATCCTTTGGGGTCGTGGTCGAGTAGTTGGTCTGTTTAGTGCGAGTTTTTATTCTAGCGTTGCTAGCGGGTCTCTAGGCGGGCTTCTGACCTGTCCTCCCACTTTTTCAGCTGTTGGCTGCTGTGTATTCAGCCGTTGGCTGCTGTATTTCGCACATTTGTGCATTTGTGCATCTCTAATACTGTTGATTAGTCATTTATGTTTGATGATTCAAGAGTGATTTTCTTTCATTTTAATTTTGACGTTCTCATAAAAGAAACATTCATGCCCATTCGAGTTCTATACATCAATAAACAATTTCTTCTTAAGTCATTAGGCAAAAAGTCTACTTTATTCAAACAATGCAAAATATTTTGTCCAAACACATAGTCAAACTCTATGATTATAATCTTTATAAAGTATTGCTAATAACAATTAATGAATATCTCTGTGAAATAATCAATCATGTCATTAAAACTGCTGATATTTTTTTTTTAAACTACTACATTATTTTCTCTCCATATAGACAAATTGACACCTCCCTCATGGAGGCATCGCCCCACGGGGTGAAAATGAGTTTTATGTCCAAATAAAAGTTGACCTTTCAAAATCTTGGTTACATATACTTCTCCCGAGACGCTAAATTATTTTTCTAAATCATCACACATTACATGAAGACTAAATTATTTTTTGAAATCATCATGCATTACATGAAAGTATATCGTAATATAAAAAAAATTATATATCATATTACAACTCCAACAAAAGTATATGAAAAATGAGTTCCTAATGAAAAAACAATAAATGACTAAATAGAGACATAATGTATATTATAGATGCATGAGTTTCTTAATTTATTTATGTTAGATTCAAGAGTCATTTTCTTCTCATAAGAAACATTCATACTCGTTGAATTCTAATACATCAATAGTATTGCAAAATGATGTTAAACTATTATTCAATTATTGCTTGAAAGGGAACACCATAATGGTTGTAAAATGTAATTTTTGTGAATATAAACATGAATTAGTTACTTAATATTTTATCAAAACATGGAAATAAATTCAAAACCTTTTAATATTATAAACAATATAAAACTACATTTTATCAAGTATATTATTACTATCAAACACGTAAAAAGAATGCATTGCATATAAATATTCTCTAATTCTTTCAAGAAATAAAATATTATTTGTGAATAAAATAAAAAAAAAACAAGTAAACCAATAGTAATGCAATGAGAAAAAGAAAAATTCTGAATTTTTTTAGAAAAGTATGAATACTAATATCAAGAAACAAAAATCTCTTAAAATTACTACTTTTTTTGTTGCTAGCATTTAAGTATATGTTCTATATAAGAAATTAGTTCTCATAATTAATGATTCGATAAAAATCTATAAAATTAGTCATTATTGAGTAATTAAATGGGAATCTGGCATAATAGTATATGATTGACATCCTCTTCAAATTCATTTTCATCTGCCATGCACACAAACAATTTGCTAGCATATATCTGGCTAATAATAATATGGACAAATTAAAAATTACACATTGTAACAATTAATTAGTTCTTCCTCGTTTTTTATCTTACTAGTAAAGTGCACGTGCATCGCACGTGGTGTCGAATGTTTTTTTTTTTTTTTTGCCGATTAAATTTAGTAAAATAAATAAATTAATTTATTAAATATATCATTGCGAGAACAAAAAAAATGCAGAATAAATGAGTTCCTAATGTATTTGTTTTTTCAAAAATTACATAACGATATACTAATATAAAAAGAATAAAATAACATGTTACGACCCCAACAAAAATACATGAAAAATGAGTCCATAATTTTTTTATATAAAAAATTTACTAAATAACTAAATAAAGACATAATGTATAATATAATGCATTAGTTCTTTTATTTATTCATGTTTGATGATTAAAGAGTAATTTTCTTTCATTTTAGTTTGGAGACGTTCTCATAAAAAAACATACATACCCATTTGAGTTCTATACATCAATAGGCAAATTCTTCTTAATTCATTAGGCAAAAAGTTTACTTTATTCAAACAATGCAAAATATATTGTCCAAACATATAGTCAAACGCTATGATTATGATCTTTTTAAGGTATTGCTAATAACAGTTAATGATTATCTCTCTGAAATAATCAACCGTGTCATTAAAATTGTTGATATTTTTTTTAAACTATTTCATTATTCTCTCTCTCTCTCTCTCTATATATATATACAAATTGATACCTCTCACATGGAGGCATCGCCCCACGGGGTGAGAATGAGTTTCATTTCCAAATAACAGTTGACCTTTCAAAATCTTGGTTACATATACTTCTCTCGAGACGCTAAATTATTTTTTAAAATCATCACACATTACATGAAAACTAAATTATTTTTTGAAATCGTCATACATTACATGAAAGTATATACTCTAGAGTAATTGCACATATGTTTGAGCACAATACACCAATGGAGTTGTAAATATTTCTATCAAAATATGATAACTAATTTCAAAAATATTTTGATCATGCTCCGACATTTCCTTTTCAATGTTATTTATTTAGAAGATAGACGAACTATATAATATGTTGTTTGCAAATTATTGAGCATCTTGGTTGTTCCAATGATTTCAGACTCTTTTATTGTCCAAATTTTTGCATCAATCATAATGTTTCAAAAATTTATTATAAATATCTTTTCTTGATTCTTTAACAATGAAAAAAAAACAATGAGATAATATTGAGAAACATATCATTTGTTAAAATATTAGAGAGGAAAAAAATTAAAATTCTATTACATTATAATACTATTCGCCATCTGTGAACTTTATTATCACAAAGTCATTATTAAAACATACATTATGTATTACAAAGTTTTTTATTTTTAATTATTTAAAAATTCAAAATTTAATATAGGATCAATATTTATGAGGATTTAAAAGCCAGTAATAAAAAATGTAGTAATTATAAAAGACTTTTGTTTCTAGATGTTGATATTCACATTTCTTTAAAAAAAAAATACACAGACTTATTTTTCCTCATTGCCTTACTATTGTTTTATTTGTTTCTTATTGTATTAAGAAATAATATTTTATTTGTTAAAAGAATTAGGGCATATTTATATGTATAATTATGTTGTTATCAAAGTATCTTATTTATTAAGCTACAACTATAATCACATAAGATAAAATATGATTTGATAATACTTATTTATTTATTTATAATAACATATATTGATTTTTATACTGTTTCTAAGATAAAAAGTTCACATTTTCTTTTTTAATGATAAAACATTATATAACTAACTCATTTTCATATTCTTTGAAAGTATATGTTACAACGATTATGGTGTTCCCTTTTGAGAAGTATTAAATAATAGTTTAGCATACTACTCATTTATTTCTCTTTTCAATTCACATAATTAAAATTGACAATAGTTGTAAGTTACATTTATTTTTTATATGTAAGAAAATATACCACATGTTTATCTTATGTTATTTTATACTTATTAAAATTTATTTAACATAGATTTATAATCTATTTTATGAGATGCTTTTAGGTCTATTTATTATTTTAAATTGGTATTGATATATATATTATTTTATATCGGTATAAATAATTACAATATTTTTATTTTACTTACAATAAATTGTCAAATCAAACATCATTGGAAAGAAATGGTGTGATATAT